ACATCAGTGGATGGTAGACATCAGTGGATGGTAGACATCAGTGGATGGTAGACATCACTGTATGGTAGGTATCAATGTGTGGCAGACATCAGTGGGTGGTAGACATCAATGTGTGGTAGGCATCAGTGTGTTGCAGACATCAGTGTATGGTAGGCATCAGTGTGCGGCAGACATCAGTGGATGGTAGACATCAATGTATGGTAGGCATCAGTGTGTGGCAGACATCAGTGGATGGTAGACATCAATATATGACAGGCATCAGGTGTGGCAGACACAAGTGGATGGTAGACATCAATGTGTGGTAGGCGTCAGTGTGTTGCAGACATCAGTGTGTGGTAGGCATCAGTGTATGGTAGGCATCAGTGCGGCAGACATCAGTGGATGGTAGACATCAATGTGTGGTAGGCGTCAGTGTGTTGCAGACATCCGTGTGTGGTAGGCATCAATGTATAGTAGGCGTCAGTGTGTGGTAGGCATCAGTGTGTGGTAGGCATCAATGTATGGTAGGCGTCAGTGTGCGGCAGACATCAGTGGATGGTAGACGTCAGTGTTTGGTAGGCGTCAGTGTGCGGCAGACATCAGTGGATGGTAGACATCAATGTATAGTAGGCATCAGTGTGTGGTAGGCATCAGTGTGTGGTAGGCATCAATGTATGGTAGGCGTCAGTGTGCGGCAGACATCAGTGGATGGTAGACATCAGTGTTTGGTAGGCATCAATGTATGGTAGGCGTCAGTGTGCGGCAGACATCAGTGGATGGTAGGCATCAGTGTGTGGTAGGCATCAGTGTGTGGCAGACATCAGTGGATGGTAGACATCAATGTATAGTAGGCATCAGTGTGTGGTAGGCATCAGTGTTTGGTAGGCATCAATGTATTGTAGGCGTCAGTGTGCGGCAGACATCAGTGTGTGGTAGACATCAGTGTTTGGTAGGCGTCAGTGTGCGGCAGACATCAGTGGATGGTAGACATCAATGTATAGTAGGCATCAGTGTGTGGTAGGCATCAGTGTGTGGTAGGCATCAATGTATGGTAGGCGTCAGTGTGCGGCAGACATCAGTGGATGGTAGACATCAATGTGTGGTAGACATCAATGTATGGTAGGCATCAGTGTGTGGTAGATATCAGTGTTTGGTAGGCATCAATGTATGGTAGGCGTCAGTGTGCGGCAGACATCAGTGTTTGGTAGGCATCAGTGTGTGGCAGACATCAGTGGATGGTAGACATCAATGTATAGTAGGCATCAGTGTGTGGTAGGCATCAGTGTTTGGTAGGCATCAATGTATGGTAGGCGTCAGTGTGCGGCAGACATCAGTGTTTGGTAGGCATCAATGTATGGTAGGCGTCAGTGTGCGGCAGACATCAGTGGATGGTAGGCATCAGTGTGTGGTAGACATCAGTGTTTGGTAGGCGTCAGTGTGCGGCAGACATCAGTGGATGGTAGGCATCAGTGTGTGGTAGACATCAGTGTGTGGTAGACATCAGTGTTTGGTAGGCGTCAGTGTGCGGCAGACATCAGTGGATGGTAGACATCAATGCATAGTAGGCATCAGTGTGTGGTAGGCATCAGTGTGTTGTAGGCATCAATGTATGGTAGGCGTCAGTGTGCGGCAGACATCAGTGTTTGGTAGACATCAATGTGTGGTAGGCGTCAGTGTGTTGCAGACATCAGTGTGTGGTAGGCATCAGTGTGTTGCAGACATCCGTGTGTGGTAGACATCACTGTATGGTAGGCGTCAGTGTGTGGTAGGCATCAGTGTATGGTAGGCATCAGTGTGTTGCAGACATCAGTGTATGGTAGGTATCAGTGTGTTGCAGACATCAGTGTATGGTAGGCATCAGTGTGTTGCAGACATCAGTCGATGGTAGACATCAATGTGTGGTAGGCGTCAGTGTGTTGCAGACATCAATGTGTGGTAGGCATCAATGCATGGTAGGCGTCAGTGTGCGGCAGACATCAGTGGATGGTAGACATCAGTGTGTGGTAGGCATCAGTGTGTTGCAGACATCCGTGTGTGGTAGGCATCAATGTATGGTAGGCATCAGTGTGTAGTAGACATCAGTGGATGGTAGGCATCAATGTATGGTAGGCATCAGTGTGTAGCAGACATCAGTGGATGGTAGGCATCAATGCATGGTAGGCGTCAGTGTGCGGCAGACATCAGTGGATGGTAGACATCAGTGTGTGGTAGGCATCAGTGTATGGTAGGCATCAGTGTGTTGCAGACATCAGTGGATGGTAGACATCAATGTGTGGTAGGCGTCAGTGTGTTGCAGACATCAGTGGATGGTAGACATCAATGTGTGGTAGGCGTCAGTGTGTTGCAGACATCAGTATGTGGTAGACATCACTGTATGGTAGGCGTCAGTGTGTGGTAGGCATCAGTGTATGGTAGGCATCAGTGTGTTGCAGACATCAGTGGATGGTAGACATCAATGTGTGGTAGGCGTCAGTGTGTTGCAGACATCAATGTGTGGTAGGAATCAGTGTGTAGCAGACATCAGTGGATGGTAGGCAACAATGTATGGTAGGCATCAGTGTGTAGCAGACATCAGTGGATGGTAGGCATCAATGCATGGTAGGCGTCAGTGTGCGGCAGACATCAGTGGATGGTAGACATCAGTGTGTGGTAGGCATCAGTGTATGGTAGGCATCAGTGTGTTGCAGACATCAGTGGATGGTAGACATCAATGTGTGGTAGGCGTCAGTGTGTTGCATACATCAGTGGATGGTAGACATCAATGTGTGGTAGGCGTCAGTGTGTTGCAGACATCAGTATGTGGTAGACATCACTGTATGGTAGGCGTCAGTGTGTGGTAGGCATCAGTGTATGGTAGGCATCAGTGTGTTGCAGACATCAGTGGATGGTAGACATCAATGTGTGGTAGGCGTCAGTGTGTTGCAGACATCAATGTGTGGTAGGAATCAGTGTGCGGCAGACATCAGTGTGTGGTAGGCATCAATGTATGGTAGGCGTCAGTGTGTGGTAGACATCAGTGGATGGTAGACATCAATGTATGGTAGGCGTCAGAGTGCGGCAGACATCAGTGGATGGTAGACATCAATGTTTGGTAGGCATCAGTGTGTGGCAGACATCAGTGGATGGTAGACATCAATGTATGGTACGCATTAGTGTGTAGCCGACATCAGTGGATGGTAGACATCAGTGTCATTTTAATTCACTGAGAAAACAGACACTGAATCAACGAATGCTAGTTGAAAGTAGGTCCTGCGTGGTCACCCCAATTACATATATATGTATTTCATGTGTACGTTTATCGGATTGGTGAATTCAAGGCACGTCAACCGCGTGTCTGGTCATAATGTTCTCGCCTTCAGTTCATGCCTCACTGTCAGTGTGTAAACGTATAGTATGTTGATCTATCATTGTGACTGGTTTAAAAGCACGAAGGTCGTCATGTTCTGGATGATGTGTACTGGACAATTTTACACTCTGTGGTCTTTTTTGGGAGTGAGTGAGTGAGTGTGGTTTTACGCCGCTTTTAGCAATATTCCAGCAATATCACGGCGGGGGACACCTGAAATGGGCTTCACACATTGTACCCATGTCGGGAATCGAACCCGGGTCTTCGGCGTGACGAGCGCACGCTTTAACCACTAGGCTACCCGACCGCCCCCTTTTTTTGGAAGACATTAGGACAATGGCGAGTTATAAAAAGAGCGGGGCTGATCTCATGTTGAATATTGTCGAGTCTTCTTTCTGTTAAGCAGAAATAGTCAATAACAATGTCTGAACCCCGAGGGAACTGGTCCAACTGACTGGAGTTCCTGTTCTCTGTGATTGGTATGTTGACCAGTCATTGTAACTAAAGTCAAAGCTTGAAGCTGCCGTCATGCCCTTGATGTCATGTACTTCACAGTGTAGACATCTATGTGTGGTAGAGGACAGATATCGATGGGTAGTAGACAGTGATGGATGGCATCGACGGTAAGTAGACATCAATGTGTGGCAGACATCAGTTGTTGGTAGATATGCTTGACCCAAAGACGTTTTAAGAGGATATTTTAACGGAAAACCCACTCTAAACGTTTTGGGAACGTTAGTCATTTTAATTCATTGAGAAAGCAGACACTGAATCAATGTATGCTGATTAAAAGTAGGTCCTGTGTGGTGACTCCATTTGAATATACATGTGTAAGTTTATTGGATTGGTGAATTGTAGAGCTTAGAGCCATAAGGGCCAATGTCATGTGGAGTCTGTTTTGAGAAAAGAGAAGAAAACACATAATAGTATGCATGTTAATGAACTTTTTTTACCGATAAAAAAACATTCAAAAAAGGAAATAAACTTACATTTTAAATTTGTGTAAGGGTAGAAAGGGCCAATGTCTGTATTTTGGCCCTTTTTGAGGGCGGTCGGGTAGCCTAGTGGTTAAAGCGTTCGCTCGTCACGCCGAAGACCCGGGTTCGATTCCCGACATGGGTACAATGTGTGAAGCCCATTTCTGGTGTCCCCCGCCGTGATATTGCTGGAATATTGCTAAAAGCGGCGTAAAATCCAACTCACTCACTCATTCACTGGCCCTTTTTGACCCTCAGGCATTTGCATGGGATTTAACATGTGAGATTGATAAAACTACTGCTGAAAGTACAAAAAACATGCTATTGAAGTACTTTTAAATGATTTAAACAAATGCCAACTTTGTTGTAATAGTCGAAATATAATAATAAGGTGTCCAGACTTTTAAAATCATTCTCAGACAACCAGTTGCAACCACACACGGAAATGAGAGCTAAAAGGCCCAAATCTAGCCAAGCGACTTTGGCCCTTTTGGAACTTGACTGTGGCCCTTTATAGAATTTTAAGTAGCTATATTTCAAAACCGCATCAATGAAAACATACAGTGTTTTTTCTACAGGTAGACAAGAACTCATAGATGTTATTTATGCAATAATAAGCAAAAAGGGCCAAAGTGCATTTTGGCCCCTTTAAGTTCTTAGCTCTTCAATTCAGTGCACGTCAACCGCCTGTCTGGTTATACTGTTCTCGCATTCAGCTCATACCTGACAGTCAGTATATGACTTTGTAGTATGATGACCTGGCTGGATTCAAAGCACGAAACAGTCGTGTTCTGGATGATGTGTACTGGAAAATTGTACACTGTGAAGTATTGTTGTTGGTAAAGATTAAGACATAAGCGAGTTGTGAAAAGAGAGGGGCAGATCTCATTTTGAACATTTTCGAGTCCTCTTTCTGTTAAGCAGTAACAGTGAATAACAATGTCTGAACCCCGAGGAAACTGGTCCAACTGGCTGGAGTTCCTGTTCTCTGTGATTGGTTCTATGGTTGGCCTGGGAAATATATGGAGGTTCCCCTACATCTGCTTTCACAGTGGAGGTGGTGAGTGTCTGTGGTATTGAATCAACGCTGTTCCATTTGCATTAGCATTTGAACGATTGTTATAAATGTCATGTGTGGTACCATATTGCTCACATTTTTAATCTAAATCTGGAACTTAGGACTTGGTTCCGGAATATGCTGTTGAGAATGAAATTAGGGTGCACAAGATTATACAAGGTGTACAGAAGTGTTTACTGTGGAGCATACGCCACGTAGATTCCGGGTCAGACGAGCTCGAGGTCTCCAGCTACCTATGCTGGTCGTGAGAGGCGACGTAACGGATCGGATGGTTTGGCTCGGTAATTTTATTGATTGCGTGTCATTGTACCGCGACGGCGTGGATCGAGACTCATAATATTACTCCTGGTTGTTTACTGGTCTAGACTCGGTTATTACGTAACGTTAAACTAAACTTGTTTATGGTAAGTGTCTCTGTTAGGCTATCCCGTTCGAGGAGCATTATGCAGTGTTCACTGAAATCCACTTATATATTACACAAGAAAAAATATATAAAAAAGTCTGTATGTTTTTGTGTTTTATAATTCCTCGCAGCTGCCTTCCTGATCCCTTACTTCCTGTCCATGTTTGTGTGCGGGATGCCCGCCATATTTTTGGAGCTGATGTACTCTCAGTACTCCAACCTCGGACCCGGAAGAGTGTGGATTATCTGCCCTTTGTTTCAAGGTCAGTGTTCGTGTCCCTCTGTTGTTCATACATGTGGCATATTCTTCCATGGTATAGGAGGGAAAGTGGACTCTGATAACAAGCCATGGTATGCTTCTGACTAATTAAGGATGTCTTTAACGCGTAGGGGTGGAATTGCCTGTGACAGAGTGGATAGTGTGAATGTAGCGCCACAGCCACAATATAGAGTATTTGCCTTGCAATGCACACTCGACCGTTCTTATACCGCGGTGGAGAAAGCAAGAGCTTGTACATGACGAAGGCCCAGGTTCAATTCCCCAAATATGAAGGTACATTATTACCCTATTCGCGAACACCTGGTGTCATCTTTGATTTTCAGTGAACCATTGATATAATTTTCACTGTTAATTTGCCTATTACGCCCAATGGAGTTTCTTTTAGGCAATATCCCAGGTGTATGACGGCGATCTGTAGATAATCGAGGCTGGACCAGACAATCCTTTTCCATAGGTCGCATGCTTTGGCATCTATATTGGATTCTCTTTGAAACTAGAATTATCATGCAGGTGTCGCTTAATGGTACTGAAATAAGTGAATGTAACATATGTGAAAACCTTCCCTACACTGCCTTTGCATCGGCGGGGGATTTTGTCCAGTCAAGCAAAGCCATGGTAGTTTCATACTCAAAACGTTTCTCTGTCAACGCAGGACACAGCCATAACAGGCATTACCATTTACTTTGTAACGTGGTCAGCTATATAGCTGTCGACAATCATGTCTCAATGTCTGCAGTTGGAGGTATGGTTTCTCAAACTTGAAATAATATATTTTAAACGGCATTTTCACTCTTGCTGATTGTGCTTGATCCATGGGATCTGCATTATATGGGTTTGTATTTTTACCTCAAGGAACATATGTTTTACAGGTGAAATCTAAGTATGCTATGCTGCTGCATATATTATCAGTTACACGTCCCATTTTGCATTTACTCAAAACTCAATCTGAAATCCAATTATGTATTTATTTTCCAAAACATGAAGGTGTGTCTACAAGTATCATGACACTTATTCAGCTGATTTTTTCTTTATTTTTCTAGTCTTATTAAAACAATTCGCCCGGGGACCACATGTACACACACGTTTTGACCACTGATCAAATACATGCTTGGAATAATCTATACAACATGTATATTGTAAGGGAATGGTGTGGAATTTTTATAGCTAAGTGTTGACAAAAGCACCTGTACAGTTATAAGTCATATTTGTCCTTTCTCTCACCCCTGTCAAAGTGCCATTAGCTGGAAGACTGAGTTGAGGTATCATCTGCCACTTCCTCCTGACTATTGCCATGAGAAGCACATGCCTAAAATAACATTCATCATAAATACATAAGAATAGATATGATAACATCTCACGTTCTTTCACACAAAAATACACTTAAATATAAGTATCAAGAACATGTTCAGTAGGGATACGGTGAAGAATATCATTTCGCTGCCTACCTTCAGAATCTTTATTTCGGTTGCAAACTTCCTCTGTTGCCTCTCAACAATAGCTTTCTATCTTTTCATTTCTTGTCTGAGCTTTTCATTGTCTTTATATCTAATCTGTTTTGTTTTCGGTCACAGAGGTGTCGACTGTAGCACGAGTAACTCATCAATGAATTACAATCAGGAACGTAGTCTGTCATAATCTGTCTCTAGGTCATCACCATGGAGTAACCAATCACGGATCTGGAATTCGATATCACACATATCTCTGATACCATGTATCTCAAATTGGTTTCTCACCCACAAGTATGTAAAAATAGAGATTATCACAAAGCGTCCTTTGGTGTCAAATACATGAACGCAAGCTGATTAATGTAGCAAAACTCTGAGGCGTGAAGAGGAGCTTTTCTACTTTTATCATGGTTTGTTGATATAGTTTATCTAAAAAAGACACAAGGACGATATTGTATTTATTTTCCAATATCTTTATTAATCAATAAGTAATAAAATCAACTGTATAAATTTGATAACTCAGTTAATATTTTAGGCCATCTTTATATTATTAAGGCTCATCATGTCTCAAAAAGGTATCAATGTGCATTATTTCTTTTTACGCATCTGAAATCTTTGCGGCATAGCTATGTCTATGTAACTGTTCGATATCTATGGGAAATCACCAACAAAATATTATACTTAAGTTTGTACATAATTTCAAACGCAAAGTTGAACGAAAAACCTTTACTTTGCTCCAATAGTAAATTGCTAAAATTTGCACAAAGCGATCTTAGAACTAAGAGTATCGTAAGCGTATGTTAAAGTATGGTAGTTACGGTCATCTTAGCGCTAAGATCCCTTTGTGCAAGAGGGCCCAGGTCAAATTCAAAATAATTTTGTAAATAGATTGATATTGATGTAGATGTGTCATTGAAAATTTGTTAATATGCATACAGTTAATCTTGAATTTCGACATTTTGCAAAAGGTTCTTATGTGCATATAGCTGTTTTAATTATGTTTGTTAATACTTCAGTGTAATATTAGAAAATATCGTGTAAATACGCGTCATACCAAAAGACGTTAAAAGATGGTACTTCTTGTTACCCTGTCTGGCGCTCGCCATTAAGGGGCTAAAGCAAGGACTGGTCGGCTCGGAGTCAGTATACTGTGTCTGAGTGGGGTATTCGTGTTAAACTGCGGCATGGTATATCAGTGGGCTAGCACTATAAATCGGCATCAGTCCGGACTAGTACAAGCAGCCACATACACCCACACACACGTGCATGCACGTCGCTAAGTGCAATAATCATGGACGCGACGTTAAACCCAATTTCACCTCACCTCACTTATTGTGTAAATACATGGATATATTTAATCTTGAATTTCAACTTTTTGAAATAAGGCTTTATGTTTATGTACTTCATACATGAATTGATGTTACTTATATACTCTGTGACACTTGTTTCATATATAAAATACTTAAATTTTGAAGTTGGAAAGCGCTAAAACGATAGCTGCATAACACCTTGTGTTGTCACACCACCAAGAAGTGAGCTATAAACAAAAGGCTATAAACAAAAAGGACTATATTTTTACTGGGCCATGTATCAAACGTTTTCTCGCATTAATCAATGACTTGAATAATGCTAAACATCAGCTGAATTAAGTTAAAGAAATAAGTTGAAAAATGGTTCAGAATACTTGTAGACACAGGATTATGTATTTCCAAAAGCTAGAAAACCACTTGGTTTTACATTTGACTATTCTGACTTCACCATGAACATGCGTTTATGAATCACTGTCAAATAGTGATGATAACATGAACTTTGAGAAAATGAATTAGTGTCTTGATTCTTCCTGAGACACCTTTATATATTTGCGAATACAAAACATGAGTTTTGATCAAATGAAATCTGCCCATTGGCGAAATCTTTTAATAAGGCTATACATTGGTTGAATTAAGTTTAACATAAATTGAATCAGTGCCATGATAATTGTCGAAACACCTCCATGTATTTGCAAAACAAAGACATGAGTTTTCAGCAAAGGAAAGTATTCTCGCCCATTGGCGACAGCATGTTAAATTTTGTAAATACCTTTGACCGAGACTCACCACAACATGGAGAGTTTTTGGACAACTGGATTTCCAGAATTAAAATGGGACGTGTTGAGTGAATTTGTTATGATTGTTAGTGGCAACAGATTGATGCGTACTAAAACCAGAGCGATCCCCCTTAGTTGTTTACAGTCCACGCTCCGTAATCCTCTTGATATAGAAAGCTCTGCTGTGAGGAGTTTGTTCACAGACTTGGGGTGAGTGAGTGAGTATGGTTTTACGCCGTTTTTAGCAATATTCCAGCAATATCACGGCGGGGGACACCAGGAATGGGCTTCACACATTGTGCCCATGTGGGGAATCGAACCCGGGTTTTCGGCGTGACGAGCGAAACAGACGTGGATCACTCCCGGGGCAAACAACCTCATTCAGAAAGTTTGCTGCCTTCCAATTTCTAAACTAGACTTTTCTGCCTGCTTTCAAGGCGTACCGATTTCTGGGTTAAGCGTCGCATTTCAACTTGGCAGTCTTCTTGTAACAAGAATTATTACTTTGCTATAAAATCTGTCTAAATTTATAGCACTTTCAGTTTAATAGTTTTTATACATACACGAAAGTGATCGGATGTAACAAATGTTATTTCTTGGACAACACGTCCTTGGTAAAGTACAAATTCTATCACAAAGTCAGCCATTTTTCAGTTATGGTTGAGAGCGTTAGATTCCTCTTCCATAAAGTGGGCGGTAGGGTAGCCTAGTGGTTAAAGTGTTCGCTCATCTCGCCGAAGACCCGGGTTCGATTCCCCACAAGAGTAAAATGCGTGCTATGAACCGTTGTCCCCACCTATGTACAGACTGTATCTGTGTTCCTGGCACATGCTATGACCCGTTATCCCTACCTATGTACAGACTGTATCTGTGTTCCAGGCACATGCTCTGACGGGTTATCCCTACCTATGTGAAGACTGTATCTGTGTTCCCGGCACATGCTCTGACGGGTTATCCCTACCTATGTATAGACTGTATCTGTGTTCAAGGCACATGTTCTGATCCGTTATCCCTACCTATGTACAGACTGTATCTGTGTTCCCGGCACATGCTCTGACCCGTTATCCCTACCTATGTACAGACTGTATCTGTGTTCCTGGCACATGCTCTGACGGGTTATCCCTACCTATGTACAGACTGTATCTGTGTTCCCGGCACATGCTCTGACCCGTTATCCCCACCTATGTACAGACTGTATCTGTGTTCAAGGCACATGTTCTGACCCGTTATCCCCACCTATGTACAGACTGTATCTGTGTTCCAGGCACATGCTCTGACGGGTTATCCCTACCTATGTACAGACTGTATCTGTGTTCCCCGCACATCCTCTGACCCGTTATCCCTACCTATGTACAGACTGTATCTGTGTTCAAGGCACATGTTCTGATCCGTTATCCCTACCTATGTACAGACTGTATCTGTGTTCAAGGCACATGTTCTGATCCGTTATCCCTACCTATGTACAGACTGTATCTGTGTTCAAGGCACATCCTCTGACCCGTTATCCCTACCTATGTACAGACTGTATCTGTGTTCCAGGCACATGTTCTGATCCGTTATCCCTACCTATGTACAGACTGTATCTGTGTTCCCGGCACATGTTCTGACCCGTTATCCCTACCTATGTACAGACTGTATCTGTGTTCCCCGCACATGCTCTGACCCGTTATCCCTACCTATGTACAGACTGTATCTGTGTTCAAGGCACATGTTCTGATCCGTTATCCCTACCTATGTACAGACTGTATCTGTGTTCAAGGTACATGTTCTGATCCGTTGTCCCCACCTATGTACAGACTGTATCTGTGTTCCTGGCACATGCTCTGACCCGTTATCCCTACCTATGTACAGACTGTATCTGTGTTCCCGGCACATGTTCTGATCCGTTATCCCTACCTATGTACAGACTGTATCTGTGTTCCCGGCACATGTTCTGACCCGTTATCCCTACCTATGTACAGACTGTATCTGTGTTCCCCGCACATGCTCTGACCCGTTATCCCTACCTATGTACAGACTGTATCTGTGTTCAAGGCACATGTTCTGATCCGTTATCCCTACCTATGTACAGACTGTATCTGTGTTCCCCGCACATGCTCTGACCCGTTATCCCTACCTATGTACAGACTGTATCTGTGTTCCAGGCACATGCTCTGACGGGTTATCCCTACCTATGTGAAGACTGTATCTGTGTTCCCGGCACATGCTCTGACGGGTTATCCCTACCTATGTATAGACTGTATCTGTGTTCAAGGCACATGTTCTGATCCGTTATCCCTACCTATGTACAGACTGTATCTGTGTTCCCGGCACATGCTCTGACCCGTTATCCCTACCTATGTACAGACTGTATCTGTGTTCCTGGCACATGCTCTGACGGGTTATCCCTACCTATGTACAGACTGTATCTGTGTTCCCGGCACATGCTCTGACCCGTTATCCCCACCTATGTACAGACTGTATCTGTGTTCAAGGCACATGTTCTGACCCGTTATCCCCACCTATGTACAGACTGTATCTGTGTTCCAGGCACATGCTCTGACGGGTTATCCCTACCTATGTACAGACTGTATCTGTGTTCCCCGCACATCCTCTGACCCGTTATCCCTACCTATGTACAGACTGTATCTGTGTTCAAGGCACATGTTCTGATCCGTTATCCCTACCTATGTACAGACTGTATCTGTGTTCAAGGCACATGTTCTGATCCGTTATCCCTACCTATGTACAGACTGTATCTGTGTTCAAGGCACATCCTCTGACCCGTTATCCCTACCTATGTACAGACTGTATCTGTGTTCCAGGCACATGTTCTGATCCGTTATCCCTACCTATGTACAGACTGTATCTGTGTTCCCGGCACATGTTCTGACCCGTTATCCCTACCTATGTACAGACTGTATCTGTGTTCCCCGCACATGCTCTGACCCGTTATCCCTACCTATGTACAGACTGTATCTGTGTTCAAGGCACATGTTCTGATCCGTTATCCCTACCTATGTACAGACTGTATCTGTGTTCAAGGTACATGTTCTGATCCGTTGTCCCCACCTATGTACAGACTGTATCTGTGTTCCTGGCACATGCTCTGACCCGTTATCCCTACCTATGTACAGACTGTATCTGTGTTCCCGGCACATGTTCTGATCCGTTATCCCTACCTATGTACAGACTGTATCTGTGTTCCCGGCACATGTTCTGACCCGTTATCCCTACCTATGTACAGACTGTATCTGTGTTCCCCGCACATGCTCTGACCCGTTATCCCTACCTATGTACAGACTGTATCTGTGTTCAAGGCACATGTTCTGATCCGTTATCCCTACCTATGTACAGACTGTATCTGTGTTCCCCGCACATGCTCTGACCCGTTATCCCTACCTATGTACAGACTGTATCTGTGTTCAAGGCACATGTTCTGATCCGTTATCCCTACCTATGTACAGACTGTATCTGTGTTCAAGGTACATGTTCTGATCCGTTGTCCCCACCTATGTACAGACTGTATCTGTGTTCCTGGCACATGCTCTGACCCGTTATCCCTACCTATGTACAGACTGTATCTGTGTTCCCGGCACATGTTCTGACCCGTTATCCCTACCTATGTACAGACTGTATCTGTGTTCCCCGCACATGCTCTGACCCGTTATCCCTACCTATGTACAGACTGTATCTGTGTTCCCGGCACATGTTCTGATCCGTTATCCCTACCTATGTACAGACTGTATCTGTGTTCCCGGCACATGTTCTGACCCGTTATCCCTACCTATGTACAGACTGTATCTGTGTTCCCCGCACATGCTCTGACCCGTTATCCCTACCTATGTACAGACTGTATCTGTGTTCAAGGCACATGTTCTGATCCGTTATCCCTACCTATGTACAGACTGTATCTGTGTTCCCCGCACATGCTCTGATCCGTTATCCCTACCTATGTACAGACTGTATCTGTGTTCAAGGCACATGCTCTGACCCGTTGTCCCCACCTATGTACAGACTGTATCTGTGTTCCAGGCATAGGTTACGGCATGGTTGTCCTCACTGCCATCATCAGCATCTATTACAACGTCATCCTCGCCTGGACCCTCTACTACCTCGCGGGCTCATTCAGTACAGTCCTTCCTTGGAGCACGTGCGACAACGAGTGGAACACTGACCTTTGCCGCATAAGGACTGACAAGTCAAATTCATCATACTTGCCTCTACTTGGAAATGAAACTCTTGTAAATACTACATTATCAGAGCTTGGAACACCCAACATCTCAAATCAGATGTTGGTAAACATGACCAACCAGACGGTGACACCTTCTGAAGAGTATTGGAGGTGTGTGCCTTATTGTGGTATGGGGTCGACCATTTGATAGTTATGTGTATGGGTGCGTGGATTAGTATAATTCACATAGATCTAATAAATTATTCATATTCTCTATTTCTCTTTCGGAGACTACTATACTGGTACACCAGTATATACAAATGTAAGAGACTAAATGTTAACATCTTACCTTTAACATCGAGTTAATAACAACAACATTGAAATCAACTGACAAGAGCATAGCCGATCCCCTGTTTTAGCCTATATCCAAAACTGCTGCTGAAACGTGGCAAGCAGATTTCAAAAGTGGCGTGCACAACTCCCTTACCCTGCATGCATCTCTTCATATGTTGCATATTGTTGCCGATACGGTGGAGCGAATCAACTTGAAATAATTACACACGACGATGTCACACTTCCATGCCTATGCAATCTCTTGCTAATTTCCACCATTTTGCTATGCATCCTCCAAGGTACCTCACTATCTGACTGATACCGTAAGGTGCCCAACCAGACACAACAGAGTGATGATCCATTCATTTCGGAATTCAAAGTTGACTTGCTGGCAGTCCTTCCATATAAGACAGCCTCCGTGGTCTAGTGGTAGAGCGTCCCCCCGGAGAGCGGAAGGTCCGTGGTTCGATCCCCGGCCGCGTCATACCAAAAGACGTTAAAAGATGGTACTTGTTGTTACCTTGTCTGGCGATCGGCATTAAGGGGCTAAAACAAGTAATGGTCGGCTCGGAGTCAGTATACTGTGTCTGAGTGGGGTATTCATGTTAAACTGCGGCATGGTATCTCAGGGCACACGTACATGTACATGCACGTCGCTATATAAGTGCAATAATCTTGGACGCGACGTTAAACCCCATTTCACCTCACCTTCCATATAAGAGTGGCACGAATATGTATAGTATGTACAGATAGGAAGCTATCATTGAGGAAAATCTAACGTCATGGATTAAAAGCTCAGATAAATATTATATTGCAAACTACATCGATGGGAACGTAAACGGCGAAAACCCTGCTGCGTTTCATGCACATTTGACAGTCTCGTATGTCAGGGCAAGATGCAACATTAAAAGTCATTTTATATTTCATTGCGCATCCTAAGGAATTGTGAGTAAAACATGCCAAAAGCAATGTTTGATGTGTGTACTTCAGGCACCACGTGCTTCAGATGTCCTCGGGAATCGGAGAAATGGGAAGTATCCGGTGGCAGCTACTTCTCTGTTTACTGGGAGCCTGGCTGGTGGTGTTCCTCAGTCTTATAAAGGGCATCAAGTCCTCGGGCAAGGTATGATCATTACAATTAGTGTATACTATATCTGATGCGGTGGCAGCTACTCCTGTGTTTACTGGGAGCCTGGCTGGCGGTGTTCCTCAGTCTTATAAAGGGCATCAAGTCCTCGGGCAGGGTATTGTAATTACAATAAGTGTATACTGTGTCTGATGCGGTGACTATGAACTCGACATTAACTGGGCTAGTACAAGCCACCACACACACACACGAAAGACACGAAACACAGGTGCTATATAAGTCCAATAATCTTAAACCCAACTTTACCTCACCGTATCTGCAAGGTGCTGCTGATTTGTGTCCCATATTCAGGATAGACGTCGTCCAGCTACAGAGGAAATGGCTTTAATGTATGATGTCTTGCAATGATCGGTTCCATGACCACCCTTGTTCACGTTGTACACAGTGACACTGCAGACAAGTACAGCATTGATCTTTACCCTTTTACTGAGGATACACATTTGCTCAAAAGCTTCTTCCATGATGATACATCTGATGGGTTGAAGACAAACAAGGTGTCAGTATCACAAAATCTTGAATGTCTCAAAACTTTAAAGCGACAAAAGCCTTCCCATATTCCCCAAAAGCGTAGTCGGTTGTACGATTCCAACTATGTTGTGATCATGTGCGTGGGAATCACTGCAAATAGTGATGATACTAGATGTTCACGAAGAGGTGAGAACGCATCCTGTCCGCCAGATGGCACCCTTCACAAACACATGCAAGAGGAAGTCACCAACTGTCAAAATAGAGAATTGCATCGACATCATTTTGAAATTTTGAAATGTCCACCATAACTAGAATATAACCTTTTGAAAGCTCGGGTTAGGCCTTGAATGTTGGAACTTGATCAAACAACTTTTGAGCACCTTTGAAATATAGGCAGAAAGAGAATGCTTGAATGTACCTCAAATCTTGTAGACACCAAGTAGGAGTGGTATTGACCTGGTCACCACTGCCACCACCAAATAGTACAATAAATAACTGCATAGACAAAACTGCAAAACGTTTACCATCAACAGTTATTCTGTACACAACTACACACTTAAAATGTTCAAACTTCAGTTATTACCAAATTACATGAACCATTAAACTACCGTTATAAAGGGTACAACAATACAACAATGTTTATTCATATTTATACGTTGTATAAAATAACTTTTCTTAAACAAACTAAACTGACTTGAAGTAATGTTTTCAGGTGTTCCGACTCCAGATGTCACCAGCAAGGTGATCATGCATGTAGCATGCTCACAGCACAAAACGCATGTGCATTACCAAGCCAATCAAACTGGTTCTACTTGGTTTACAGAAACGTGTAGCCAATCAAATGTGACGACACATTCCTTTGTTTAGAAGTGACATCTTACAATAACTATAATGCCCTGTATGGACTGTGGACCATTTTTGGCTTGTGGAGAGTATTCTTTCATCTTGGAAATACTAAATTAATCATTTTGAACTTAAAATCCACCACCAAATAACTCGTCTACATCAATGTACATAATACCCCTGTAGAATACGAATATTGACCAATCAACAATAATCTTGTGGGACATTTTTGACAGAACATATTTTCGGCTACTGGTGTAGAACTTACGATACTTTTCTCCGGACATGCAGCATTTTATTGTATTTCCAGTTTTTCCCTCAAGCACTACTCCCTTCACATGTTATATTACAACGTTTCCACCATTTCATGTTTTTTACCCAGACTGAGCTCGCTGCTACTGTGTGATTGACCTTGGGCTGTTGTAGGCACAAAGGTTGACTTTGTGGGTAGTGTAATCCTAGAGGTCTTTGTGAGACAGCCTTAAATATAATGATGCTATTATTGTCACGTCTTGGAGGCCATAGCTCAGCGAGGCTCCCATGAAATGGCTCGTTGGTCTTATTAATAAGATAATAACATAAATGCGTAGTTCGTCCATCTTCATGTGTTCCATCCAGGTAGGACGTTTGTAACCCAACGATATAACTGAAATTCCGCGTCAAAATAAACTCACTCACTACTTCAATGTCAATTATTACTGTTATTATTTTAGGTTGTGTACGTTGCGGCAACCGTTCCGTACCTGATTCTGATAGCTATGCTTGTGCGTGGATTGCTACTTCCGGGTGCTGTAGAAGGAATCAAGTACTATACTATACCACAGTGGACGAAACTCATGGATGCGAAGGTGAGCTGTGTTAGCGGAACAACCTATTGCAGTGAATAAGTATTGATTCATATTCTATCAAAATAGCTCTACTTGTAGCCAACACCTTAAACAACGCCTTCTCCAAATCTCACAGTGAACTAAAAAGAGGTTTAAAACAAATCAACTATTGCTGAACTATTCCTCCCAGGTATGGCGTAATGCTGCTGTCCAGATGTTCTACTCTGTGGGTATTGGCAACGGAGGAATAGTTACCCTGTCTAGCTACAACAGATTTCACAATAACTGTTACAGGTATGAATTGTTTTTCGTCAACTGGGGTGCTTTGCAGTGATTGAAACACAGATACTGATGTGCAGCTGCATGGACTTTCACAGGGAATTGCTCTCTGTTCCTTTAATATTCATTTATACGGGTAACACTAGCAAGGTAGACAATTCATCTAAAACACACCAATTAGCTTATTAGAACTTATTTTCTCATGCATGCCAGAAATGAATGGTCGTGGATTGGAATGCCAGTTCGGCCATATCATGTTTCCTTGCTTTAAAATTTCAACAATATACCCCTACTCGTGGGTTTCACCAGTGTGCAAAAGTAAAGACCCTTTTTTCAACTTTCTTTTTTATGCCAATTAGTATATTTACACTGTAAATGTATAGGTCAATGGACAATAATTAAATTTTCTTTCGTTGTGTTCATTGAAATTCCCGCATTCTGATTTACTGAATTGGTCGCGTGTTATTACAGTCATTTCCCAATGAGTGTAAAAAGATTAGCCACGCCCACCGACGCGGACTACTGTTATTACTACGGAATGTTGGGGATTCCAAATATTACAGTCGAGGGAATTCCCTTTCAGGTCACGTGTATCGTCATGCACAGGACATTTAGTGAAACTCGTGCATATTCATTGTCCAAACAACCCTTTGAGACCGAAGGCCGAGAAGGAATGAAACAGCAAACGTGCAGGATCGCCCGCCTGTGTTCCATAACTTTCATGTCTTCGGGTTTCATTTCTAACTAGTATTTTTTCAACTGTGTCTTCCCGTTCTCAGGGAACTAATCTTAGAATCTGGCGGTAACTGACCATGTCATTGGAAACAGCCGCCTTCCCTCGGACATATTTGTTCCGGTTCGTTACAGTCCGACTTTTGCAGTTCTCCTCGTATCTTGCCTTGCTTGATTGGTCCTATGAACATTGATTTGATCTTAATTTCCCGTTGATTGGCTAATAACTTTGTAGGCGTGTCAAGTTATGTGCATAAATTATACAATCACCCGATTAATGTCACACCACAGTATGTATTCCTCCACCTGGAATGTTTAGCAATCTCGTCATTTTTGTCTGTTTTGATATATATAACTGGGGTTTTTTTTGTTAACATATTGTAGATAAAACATGTTTTCGTTGTCGAATTTAGTTATAATCATTGAATGTGTATTTCTGTCGGATCATTGAGGTATGAATTGAAAAAACGATGTGCAAACTTTTGTAAGAATCCGCTTTAAGAAATATTATGAAGAGATCATACACCCACGCATCAGTGATTAGAACTTCTATTTACAAGCTAACTATTGTCCTCCACAAATAATCAGAAGACAACGAAAGCTGCCTGAAACATTGCACCTTAATTTAATATCCCATTGGATTATTTATGTCATGGAGAAAAGACGAATTATATATCTCACTAATCTGGCATTGCATGAGATAGGAAAGGGCAGAGTGCAATTAAAGGCGAAACAAAATTTCACTTTCCAGATGTACATTATAGAGATGCCAGTTTAACCGAACTCTTTCAATTTGTTTCTGTCCCAGAGATGCTTTGATGTTCCCTGTGTTGGACTGTCTCACCAGCTGGTTTGCAGGGTTCATCATCTTCGTGTTTCTGGGCTTCATGGCCAACCAATCCAACCTGCCCATCTCGGAGGTCGTCAAAGAAGGTGGGTGGGATATTTCTAATGCTGAAGTTATCAAAGTTCATATGCCAATACATACTTTCCGAACTAATATATCACTGATTTTGCAGAGTGAGTTTGTCCTCTTCAGTTAGGCACTGATCCAGTAAGTGGTTGTCATTGTGGTCACGTGTAATACAATTATAAGACGATACCCTACGCAAACACTACTTTTATTAGAAGTAACAACTAGAGTTACATGTACCCTTACATGGTCATCAGGGCTGTGGGTTTAAGTGAAAAGTGCAATATATCGTTTGCGTGAAATGTCCACTGAATACATGCGTATGCTATTCGTGGAATGCGAATATTTGACTGTGCTCAATGACAGATCGAGGACTCTTACTTTATCAGGGTAAAATGGAACATTTGAAAGAATAGGGCCCGGTTTCATCTCGCCCGTTGGTCTCGCTATACCTAGACACTCCTACTGTCTGACTTCATTTGACTCAACGCCAATGTCTAGTGCTTCATGATTTCAGGGCCTGGTCTTGCTTTCATGGCGTATCCCGATGCTGTGACGACGATGCCGTTGCCGCAGTTGTGGTCCTGTCTCTTCTTCTTGATGCTGTTTACAGTGGGACTTGATAGTCAGGTAAAACACTTGCCGATGAGTAAGAAGCTGTGACAAGTGTAAAAGCTGTAGCATCGAGCATTACGCTGACAAGCGACATGTCATATTATGTAAGTTCATCTGAATGTCCAGGATATTATCTCTGGAATGAGTTAACCAAATCCTTGACGCTGTTCCTGTGACTAACAAATCCCGTGACGAGCGAACGCTTTAACCACTAGGCTACCCGACCGTCCCTCAAAACTGTAAGTAAAACAAATACAAATTCAGCGCTGGCTTACAGGAAGATCTGTTTCTGCGCCCATGTGCATCTGCACAGGCGGTGACTAGATGTCACATTTGCCAAATTATGATGCTGTCTGAGGGAGAATAGGAGGTTGATTGGCGTGTCTGCCTATGAAACAACATTTCTTGAATAGATAAGTGAGATAGGTTAATCGTTTATCACCAATAACTGTTAATTTATTTTACATGAATCCAATATTCAGTAAAATATTTCTATACAAGTAAATATTTTTTTTTTATATTGGACATATATGTGTTTCATTAAAATGTAGTCGCTTTTCTTCATTTCGTCTCATAAAAAGGGGTATTGTAAAAATATAAGATGTGAAAAACGCTCTTTTAGTCTGACATTATCGGGATAAATCACTGTCACGCTTGTTGTTTTTTTACAATTCTTATAGAACTCATGTAAACAGTTTAATATCCTACGTTTAAACACATTAATAAAAAGGATGAATGCATGATTAGCAAGAAGTAAATCGTTTGTGAATACATGCTGCCATGGTGCATCGTTAGATATCGATGTTCTGTCAATCAAGTGAAAAAAAACCAGATAAAAACCAGAAAAGTGTGTATTTAATAAAAGTAAGATAAATTTTGGTAAAGAATTATCTTGAATTATGTTTTTGTTAAAACATAAAATGGAATGTCTTTCCTTTAACCTGTTCATATACAAATAAACATTATATTCCCATATTCCCAAGGAAATACGTAAATCTTGTAGCAACATTTACACTTCTCTTCTCACAGTATACGGTAGGACATTTGTCGATTGCACATGTAAATTAAAAACGTCGACACAAGGGAATAATCAGTCATGTTATCTGCGATAACTGATTCCATTGGGCCGAAAAACGCAAACCAGTGAATGGATAAGTGATGACACTTGGTGTGCGCGAGTAAAGGTAAGCATGCAATGTTCAATCAAACAGATTATGATGAACGTTTCATCAAGTTTGTGGCCCAAGTCGACGTATGATATAATATGGAACATTAATAAATATTCCTATTCATAGATACTGAACAACAAAAGTTCCTGTGACATTGAAAAAGATTTAATGCAAAGTTAAGTTTTTTACCAAATCTGAAACAATTTCGGTTTGCAACAGATGAAAGACTCCTGTAAGTGTTCAAATGGTTTAATTTGCCAAACTAACTTCAGAAAATGCGTGATTTCATAAAAAAAAAAACATGAACATGCCAAAATGTCAATTTAAAAATCAATAGCGTGTGTGTCCACCTCTGGTTGCGATGCAAGCAACACATCTTCGTCTCATGGAATGGACCAGGTGTCGCACAAAGTCCTGTGGGATATCTGTCCATATCTGCTGGAGCATGTTTCGATGTTCCTGGAGTGTCTGTGGAACACGTGGTTGACATTGAAGGCACCGATCCATCTCATCCTACATTTGCTCGATTGGTGAGAGATCGGGGGAGCGAGCCGGCCAGGGGATGACATTCACGTTGTTTTGTTGAAGAGAATCTTGAACAAGTCGAGCAATATGAGGCAGGGCATTGTCATGTTGAAAGGTAATGCCTGGGCCATGACGACGCAAAAACGGTAAAACAGCAGGGCCGATTATCTCGTCGCGGTAGCGCTGTCCATTGAGATTTTCCTCTACCACTATCAAACGGGTCCTCCGTCTTGCTGTAATCCCACCCCATACCATAAAGCTGCCGCGCCCGAACTGATCTTCTTCCATGACACAATGATTGACGTAACGTTCACCTCGACGTCCGTACACGCGAATCCGTCCATCGCTGTGGCTGAGGTGAAAACGAGACTCGTCAGTGAATAGAGCTTGTCCCAACTGCATGGCTGTCCAGCGTAGACGCTGTCTGCACCACTGTAAACGTGCTTGATGGTGGTTTTCTGTCAAAATGGGACGTCTGGCTGGTCTTCTGGCGACAATCCCTACACATCTGAGGCGACGACGTACGGTTCGTGAAGATATTCGTCGAAGGCCAGGAATGCTTCTTGCAGTAACTGTTGCTGGCTGGAATCGATTTCGTAGGTGTGTTGTTCGAATCCATTTGTCTTGTCGATTATTGGTTACGCGTGGCCTGCCACTCCGAGGATGGTCTCTGACTGCATTCGTCTGTTGCCAACGTTGCCATAAACACCAAATGGTGTTTCTGTGGACGTTAAATTGTCTTGCAACCTCACGTTGACTCGATCCTGCTTCAAGCATACCAATGGCTCGCAGACGCTCATTTTCGGACAGGCGTGACATTTCGTAAAGTTGAATAATTGCGTAATTTTGTTGTTTTTCTGAGTGGTTGTTGTCAGCACGATGCTAAACATATGCATATGGAATACGGTTAACGTACATGTTCTTATACCCATTCTTGGGTAGTGAAATGCATTGGCTTGCATAAAAGTCAACTTTTGCATGGAATGCATGCTTTTCTGTAGCAGTTGCGTTTTTGTGACTTGATTCCATACATGTACTACAATACTGAAAACCAAACTTAACTTGTTTGAAAAATACACTAAAATATTGGTGTCACAGGAACTTTTGTTTTTGAGTATAGTATACTCCCAAGGGAGAGGACAATGAAAATGTAGTGCGCACTGATCCATTAACCTGGAAAATAATAAATAATAATATAGTGTCATAAGCATTGCCTTGAAAGGAATATGGCCCTTTATGAATGAACTTATTATTAGTGTATTACATCGCCTGAAAATATATGTTAAAGATACATTCTACATGATTGAAACTGTAAACAACAGGATAGAATGATCGCGTGCACTTATCCACCGGACCTTCACCTCAATGAAAATACCAAATATATTAAACAAATGTCGAGTATATTTCCCCATGCATATTCTCAATGCACGTCAGCAAACGTAAGCAACGAATAGTATCAAATAGTACAAAAGGCATTAATCTTCACACTTCATGTAATTTGCTTGATTTCATCTGGACCATTTGTGTTGTCATTTGATTATAAAATGCTCAAGGATTTTGGGGATGTATGTATCGCAATTGATATTTGAAATATGCTAAGTGTTGATCCCAAAGTCGAAACACGAAAGTTAACCTAGATATCTACAGAACTAAACTGTAAATACAGTACATATCCACACACGAACGATGAATAATTAACAGGCTTTACTGAAACACACAGGATTACAAGCATAAGGGGAAATGAAATATATCAAATGTTTGGCAGCAGTAAAACAACAATAGGCCTATTGTACAGGTTACTGCAGGAATGTCCCGTATTTGTCACTTGACATTTTAGGAGTGCTTCATTTTTCTACGATAAATAACCCTACAACAAACACTGCCACATACCACATATATGTGGCCAAACACGCCATACACCAAACATGATTTTGTAAACCTATCCAATATGGTTGAAAGTTCACTTCGGAGTTCGTTTTTGCGTAGTTTCTAAAACATGATAGCTATCTAGGATGTATTGGCAACGTTTCAGAAAGATCACTGGTGATTTGAAATATACCACATCTACCTATGATCACTAATGGGCGATTATAGTGAATGAATTCTCCAATTAAAATATCCGATATTTAGATTTATAAAAATACATGGGATTACGCCGTGAAATTTTCAGAAGCCATTTAGACTTTGCTTTGTCTTAAATGACAGATAATGATATTGCAGTACATACAATATCTCACCTCATTGACAACTGTGAGTGTATTGGTGTGCGTGATGTATTTTGGGTGTAATTCAACTTCAAAGTGAGGGTTGAAGAGAAAGGACATATATGTCCCTGTGGGTTAAACCAAGGGGTTAAACCCAATTCACCAGCACACTTCACAGCACAACACGAATAAAGATAAACGCAAAGCTTTAATTATAAAGTAAACTCTCTGTCAGTTCGTCCACGTCCAGACGATGGTTAGCGCCATCACCGATGCCTTCCCAAGAACCCTCGGACACCGGAAGCTCCTGGTCACAGCTGGCGTGTGTTTGACTGGGTTTATTCTAGGGCTGTCATGCGTTACTCAAGTAAGTACAGAGATATACTTCTATATTATATACTTCAGTGTGAGGGACTGTGTTTTCTGAATTTGAGAAAAGTGATATTTTCATTGCAGTGAACATTACACTTTGAAGGAGCTATTGTCATACAAGAGTAACCTCCCTGCAAATTGTCTCCCTTTATCGTAAGTGTCTGGGCCGTAAACAAACTGTTGACTTCTTTTCAACGTTAGTTCACATTGACAAGGCAAAATAATGACAGATGATCATTTATTGTGATAATATCGCTTCGTGCGGTTTTGTTATTCTCTTGAAAATGATGAGTTATAAACTGTAATTTTTTCATTTGACTCGTCAATCGAGACCGTTCATTTTGCAAACCGCCATTTTTGTTACTTGACCAGCGTGTATTCTTTCGCTTCCAACAGCAGTCTCGTAGATTTCAAGAATGTTTTTTTAATATTATCTATACGTATGATAAAGAATTTTCGTGATCCTAAATATTTTTTGTTACTTTGGTTTATATTCTTAAGATTTTACAAACACGAAACTACTTTTTAAGTCGCAAACATAAGGGGTAGTGTACGTCCCTGTGTGTTTGGTAGGGAGAAATTACGTTTCAAAGTTTTACATTTGTAATGAAATAATTTAATTTTCCGCAAGACAACGACGCAATAATTATATGATAAATAGGATATATCATGTGTCGAGTAAAAATCATGTTTCTTTCATCTCGTGACGGGGTAAAAGAGATATTTTCATGAGTGGCATAGATATATTTGCAACGAATTGCTCAGTGTGTTTCCTTGCACATGTGATTCAAACCACACCATGAAGAGCTGCATCCCTCAGTCGTGCACATTCTGCCCTGGTATAATTGAATACTGTTCGACTCGAGGTTAAACACGACACACTCACTTCATTGCATACTACTTATTTATTTGTTTGTTCATTTGTTGTTTAATGCCGCTTCCAGCAGCATTCCAGGTATATGACGGCGGTCTGTAAATAATCGAGTCTGGACCAGACAATCCAGTGATTGACATCATGAACATCGATCCACGCAATTGGGATACGATGACATGCACCAACCAAGTCAGCGAGCCTGACCACCTGATCCCGTTAGTCGCCGTTTACGACAAGCATAGTCGCCTTTTACAGCAAGCACGGGTTGCTGAAGATCTATTCTACCCGGGGTCTTCACGGGTCTAGTATACTAGTATTACATCTGTTTGGTTATATACTACTGCATCGGTTTGAACCGAAACGACGAGACTGCTCTGGCGAACTAAAGTTGTCAAATCATGTTCACCAATCTCAGACCTTCACTCCTTATGGGCATAAGCATGCTGTTCACGGTTCACCCTGTTAAGAAGAGTGAGTGAGTGAGTTGGGTTTAACGCCGCTTTGAACAATATTTCAGTGATATCGCGGCTTGTCAGCTTAATGTGGGAGGAAAGCCCGAAGTGATGCAGGTCTCAGACGTTTACCACTTCGGTGAAACCCACGAGCACGGGTATGGTACTGACAAACCTAGAAACAATCGGGGCGAACCGGGATTCGAACCCAGAATCATAGGTTTCTGGCGTGCCCAAGGGACGCAACTCTGCACAGCGAATCGCGGCGCCTTAGACGACTGGGCCACCCGTGCCCCCTCCTTTTAAGAAGAACAGGTAGTTCAATCGCCAAAGGCTGTGAAAAGGTATGCCTGCCAGTATCCCATGACCAATAGTTCTAAACTCAGATTCACCCTGATAGTGATTCTACATGAAATGGTAAACGTGTAGAACATGAACCAAGCTGATACACCATGATACAAACTACAAATTACATTCACATGCGGTCTCTTACCTCGCTTGCTATGTTATCCATACAGGGAGGTATCTACGTGCTGACGCTACTGGACTGGTACATCGGGAGTTTTTCACTCGTGGTGCTGGCGATGTCGGAAATGTTGGTTCTAGCGTGGATATATGGTACGCCAGTCTGTCAGGAGTAAATTTTATAGCATCTTATTTGTGAGCATGTGAGTGAGTGGCGTGGGTCACAGACGTTTTTGACAGTATTCCAGTTATATCGCGGCGTGTCAGCTTAACGTGGGTGGAAAGCCCGAAGTCATGCTGATCTCTGACTTTTACCACTTCAGTGAAACCCAAATGCCAGGTATGGTGCTGACAAACCTAATCGGAAAGAACCGGGACTCGAAGTGCAAACGCTGCATCTTATCACGATGGTCTTATTGCTTATGTTGGCTAAAATGCTAATCCATGGTATCGGATTAAGTTTCATAAAAAAGACACTTTATAGCCTTGGATTGCCGCTTTGGGTGAAAACTACCCGAGCGGAGGTTTTCTACTGTGACGTGTACGCTTAAATGTGAAATATTTTCTGAGATATAATCAGAGTTCACCAGAAGACGATGAACAGCTGTTCAGGCCAAATCCGGTCACCTAACATGTAGTTTGATCCGATATCCGTTAATCTGTTTAGACTGGCGTCGTGGCAACTTATACTTAATTTGAATTGTAACACGCTCTGTGTATTTAGTCCAGTCAGCTGTACATAAGAACTAGTTACTATCCGATTTAAACCATGTTATGATTGATATATAATTTCCCTGTACGTCTGTGCATAATGGCCAACAGTTGCGTCAGTTTTACTTGCACAAAATGTTGAGGATGGTCAGTGAAATCCTGACTTGGCACCATCTGCAAAAATAATAGCGTGATGTCATCATATTGGTTTAACAATGACGAGTGGATGATGTCTGCGGCCATATAGTGGAATCACGTATCTTTCTCCACAAAAGCTGACCTCGTCAGCAAATGATTCCATAATCTGATTTATCCCCATACTCCCCCGTTAAGCTGTGATGAGATGATTCTTGGATAAATCCCAAACCGTCTTCTTATATGCAGGTGTAAATCGCCTGTATGATGATCTGACGATGATGATTGGATACCGAGTGTCTCCTGTATGGAAGCCCATGTGGCTCGTCGTCACTCCTCTGTTCGTCTTCGTGAGTACTCTTGACGGCTGACCACCATTGGGGCTGCTTCATGTGTTTCGCCGTCGACGGAATTAGATTCCACGCGCTTATGACAGATGTCAGTGACCCTATGTGTAGTGTAATAAAGTATAGTTGTGCCCTGAACTATTTTAGTTAAAGCACGAGACGCTTTTGACGGCGAGTGGCAAATGCCATTTCGCTGATATTGCTGATGACTGAATTCTAATTGCAATAGAATAGAAGACTACATTAAGGTGACATTTAAAAAAACGACGAAAATATTCATTACACTTGGTGAAGTCATATTAAAAAACAAACCCAGGACGAAACCCTTGACGTTATCTGACCGGCCGCGTGTCCTTATTTTCTTCCGGTCCTTCAGACCCCGTTAAGAGAATGCGGCCTCAGTCCAGTAAGACAACCTCACAGGTCGGATCCTCAAGTCCTTCTTTTCACTGTATGTTTCTGATGGGAAAGTTTGGACGCATTAAGAAATACGTGGGGATATAATGCAAACGCCTGTCGAGCTGGTTGTTGGCCTCAGATCGTGGCCAGATATACAACAAATGATGAAACAATAACAATTCTATTTTCTCTATCGTGCTGCCAACTATTTGTGCGAAAGAGAACTAATATGTCGTTGTTTCTTGTACAGATTTTGCTTATTGCTGGACTTACCAACATGTCCCCAGTACCTCTTGGCGGAAAGAATTTTCCTTCTTGGGCACAGGCGATTGGTTGGCTAATAGCCACGTGTCCTCTACTGCCAATCCCGGTTGGCATGGTGCTTGCCATCTGGAATGAAACAGATGGTTCGTTGAAAGAGGTAAGTGTCCTCTACTGCCAATCCCTGTGGGCATGGTGCTTGCCATCTGGCATGAAACAGATGGTTCGTTGAAAGAGGTAAGTGTCCTCTACTGCCAATCCCGGTGGGCATGGTGCTTGCCATCTGGAATGAAACAGATGGTTCGTTGAAAGAGGTAAGTGTCCTCTACTGCCAATCCCTGTGGGCATGGTGCTTGCCATCTGGCATGAAACAGATGGTTCGTTGAAAGAGGTAAGTGTCCTCTACTGCCAATCCCTGTGGGCATGGTGCTTGCCATCTGGCATGACACAGATGGTTCGTTGAAAGAGGTAAGTGTCCTCTACTGCCAATCCCTGTGGGCATGGTGCTTGCCATCTGGAATGAAACCGATGGCTCGTTGAAAGAGGTAAATACGAAAAGGAAAATCCATGCACGCGAACATACGGGACATTCAGACCACGAGTACGCCAAAGTCGTCATATTCGTGACTTTGCCATCAAAGGAGAAACAGCATCCTGACAGGTCACGTAGATCTATTGTTTTACGCTGCAATATTACAGTGGAACATAACATGGCTGGGTTTCACACATTGTACCAATAGGGAATTGAACACAAGGCATTCGACGTGACGAACGTACGCTTCAACCACAAGGCTTCAGCCTCTACATTAATGAAGAAATGAATGTCAGCCGGTCTTTAGCAACTGTGACTTCATCCTTTATTAGTCAGCTTAGTGAGTGGCCATTAACACTCGGGGATGCTGTGATTTGTTCAACAATAATTGTCCAACAAAAAAACAACAACAACATAAAAATTATTTGCCCTGAAACCATGTGTTGTGAATAAGGCAATGGCTAGTCCTTCCACAGCAGAACATGTGTGTCATAAGTCAGTGACATAAATGTCTTTATAAAATCTTTATATGACAAAAGTGATAGTAATGACAGTACAAAGCATGTTTACAGAGGCTGATCCAAGCAACCAAACCCAGGAAGGAATGGCGACCAGCACTCGGTGTCGATACTGGACAAGGGAGGGACGACATGGACATGAGGACAAGAGAAATGCTCCTCAGTGATGACCATAGTTACATGAAGTGACGAGGACTATTCAGGCAAGATTTCATAGACAGCGGTCAAGCTATCAGTTGAACTAACTTTACGCTGTTGGTTAAATCGTTGCAATTGATTGAGAGTTGGCATTGTTTGCAAAGAGGCTCACAGCAACGTCACATAAATTTAAATGACACTCCGAGCTACTGCTCCTTGGCCATTTTCCATTTCAGATCTACGTTCAGCCAAGCCTGATAGACAGAAGGCCATCAATGTTTTACGAAGAGCTCTACTGACTAAACTATATTTATAATTTCGTCGTGACATTGCTGGAATAGTTACTCACGCCTGCACGCACCCACTCGCACACCTAGAATTACATGCACTACAGTACAGACGATCTACATCTTTTATCCAGCATCTGAGGCATGTTGAAATATATATATATCGGATGACGCTGCAAGATATCCATATATGTAGAGCCACGTAGCTTCGAGACATGATAACACAAAGACAACAAAAAGGAAGATAACTTTAAAATAATATTTGTTTTATCCTTGCAATGTGGGATCATTTATACGTTTGTTCAAGTAATGGATCGGAATTAATATTCATTTGTTAGGTTCTATTATTATATTCTTAATTTTGTGTCGGTACTGGTTAAACAAAATTACAATTAACTTTTAGCTTTTTTTTATTGACCATAAAAGAAAATTGGTAAATGCATGTAATTGTTTTCCTATAAAAACGAAATACATTTGGATGCCCTATGTATAAAAAAAATATTAAAGTCATACAACCAAAACATGATTTTTTGTTAGTTTGTTTGATTGATTGATTGTTTGTTAACGCCGCACTCAGCAATATTCCAGCTATATGATCGAGGAATCGAGTCTGGATCAGACAATCCAGTGATTGACATCATGAACATCATTCCAAGAAATTGGGATACGATGGCATGCATCAACCCAGTCAGACAAGCATAGTCGCCTTTTACGGCCAGCATGGGTTGCTGAAGACCTATTCTGCCCCGGATCTTGTTGTTAACTTTGGTTTGGCACCAGGTTGTATTACAGTTATATCCTGACGTGTCCGCTTGCTATGGGAGAAGGGCTAACGTGATGCAACCAACGGGTACGATGCTGACAAACCAGGAAAAATAATCAGGCCAAATCTGGGTTTCGAATGCATGAGCCTATGTGTTGGCCCACCTATGTGTTGGACCACCTATGTGTTGGCCCACCCATGTGTTGGCCCACCCATGTGTTGGACCACCTATGTGTTGGCCCACCTATGTGTTGGACCACCTATGTGTTGGCCCACCCATGTGTTGGACCACCTATGTGTTGGACCACCTATGTGTTGGCCCACCCATGTGTTGGACCACCTATGTGTTGGACCACCTATGTGTTGGCCCACCTATGTGTTGGACCACCTATGTGTTGGCCCACCCATGTGTTCTACCACCTATGTGTTGGACCACCTATGTGTTGGACCACCTATGTGTTGGCCCACCCATGTGTTGGACCACCTATGTGTTGGCCCACCCATGTGTTGGACCACCTATGTGTTGGACCACCTATGTGTATGACCACCTATGTGTTGGACCACCTATGTGTTGGACCACCTATGTGTTGGCCCACCCATGTGTTGGACCACCTATGTGTTGGCCCACCTTTGTGTTGGCCCACCTATGTGTTGGACCACCTATGTGTTGGACCACCCATGTGTTGGACCACCTATGTGTTGGCCCACCTATGTGTTGGACCACCCATGTGTTGGACCACCTATGTGTTGGCCCACCTTTGTGTTGGCCCACCTATGTGTTGGACCACCTATGTGTTGGACCACCCATGTGTTGGACCACCTATGTGTTGGCCCACCTATGTGTTGGACCACCCATGTGTTGGCCCACCTATGTGTTGGCCAACCTAGGGGACGCGACGGCATCACAGCAGTGCCTGAGACGACTGGGCCACCCTCACCACTGATAACCTACGACTTTCTCGCAGTTTCGATAATTTCTCAAAAGTCGAATTGATTACTGCATCGCATGTTAAACTAGTTGTGAGCACATCATACCACTCTGTATCATTTCTCGCAATCTTTTCGTTCATAGCTACTTCTCTGCTAAAACATTGCAATAAACAGATAAGCGTAATATATGATCAGAAGCTTCCATTAATTTAGCTTCATATAGAGAATCTCACCCGAGTGTCTTTTCAAATATATCAACACGAGTTGATAAAAGTCGGAAAACTCCGAGGCTTGCCGAGGATTTTTGCCACTTTCATCAACGAGTGTTGATATATTTGATATCAAAAGACACGATTGTGGGATTTTATTTATCATCCAACATCATTCTTCCAACTTTTTCAGTTTGTTGACAGTAATAAGCAGTGTTTTAAGTGTAAAAAGTACTGTTCACAGCTTCAGTAGCAGAGCCATTAATAATGTAATTTGATTGTGACATCATGGTAACCAATGACGTCACAATGGTCTGCAAAGCATTGTGATGCAATTTCATTGCAGCGATATCTACAGTGCAGATATCGCTTGATCTTACCCAAGCGATATCTCCTGTGGGAGCCAGTTTTGGATGATATATCTGAACTCAAGACTCGATTGACTCTGTGCGTTGTAACGACATGTTCAATGTTTCCATCCATAGTGTCCTTCTTCAACTGGATAACTATTTCTTTTTGTAAATAAGGCAGTTATGACGTTTTTCGGAACGCCTTCACTAAAAATAATATCTCGTCAAAACCGCCCGGCAGGTACTGCTCGCGCAAGATTTGTTTGTTTGTTGTTTAACGCCGCACTCAGCAATATTCCTGCCGTATGACGGCGGTCTGTCAATGAGTAAGTCTGGACCAGACAATCCAGTGGTTGATATCATGAGCATCGATTCACGCAATTTGGATGCATTGATCTGGACAGCGAGCCTGCAAGATTCTGCTTTTGACATATGTCAGTTCGTCCTCTTCCAAGTCCCTGATGACTCGGCAGCTCTGAGGTGTTGAGGGGTGTTTCACGTTTCATGGCTGATATTCCAACCTAAAACACCCGCTAACACCTTGTAGTTGAACGATGACTCGGTTGTATTCACAAGCATCTTCTCGGGTAATTGTATTTGGTGAACGTCTTTAGTCAGGGGACTTTTGTGACCGATTTTAGTGAAGGAAGTTTGTACTCGCATTGAAATGATCGTGTCAGATATCACTGCTATGTTTGACAACGTATCAAATTACATTTGGTTAGAGCGTCACCTCAACAAAATATCGTAGTTAGTATTCTTGATACCATGAGTGAAAGAGGATATTCCTTATCATGTGCGGTGCTATAGTAGGATGTTGGCAGTATCACTTTACCACTAAGATGGACGGATGATCACTTAACCCATTGATGGTTAAAAGGTATGACACTCACTTGTAGACGGATTATTCCAAACAACATTCTTAAGATATTCAGGACTCCTAGAGATTATTTTCCTTTATAGAACACCTCTTTGATAAATTCAATTCTAAATAATTGTTCCTGTGTGAGAAAAGACATGTGATCACAGTCTGTGCTTGTAGAGGTACCCTTGCTGCAGCTGTACACCACACCCGTCTATCACATCCGTCTACCATACCCGTCTACCACACCCGTCTATCACACCCGTCTACCACATCCGTCTACCACACCCGTCTACCACATCCGTCTACCAGATCCGTCTACCACACCCGTCTACCACACCCGTCTACCACACCCGTCTACCACATCCGTCTACCATACCCGTCTACCATACCCGTCTACCATACCCGTCTACCATACCCGTCTACCACACCCGTCTACCACATCCGTCTACCACATCCGTCTACCATACCCGTCTACCACACCCGTCTACCACATCCGTCTACCACACCCGTCTACCACATCCGTCTACCACATCCGTCTACCATACCCGTCTACCACACCCGTCTACCACATCCGTCTACCACACCCGTCTACCACACCCGTCTACCACACCCGTCTACCACATCCCCGCTGTTGTCTATGATGAGTATATGAACACTAGATCCTTGCAATTTAACTGGATTCATTATATTCACTTTGAAGATATAGAGACGCCACTCTATTGCACCTACAGCCTCAGACACCAGTAGACAAATAATAATATCAACATTGTAAATGGAGGATGTCACGCGAGTGTATTTTGGGAAAACAAATATCCTGTATCAGGAACAGATATTGCATTTAATGAGCATTTAACAGTGTACTTCTATATGCTTTTTGGGGCACGGGTAGCCCAGTCATCTAATGCGCCGCGATTCGCTGTGCAGAGTTGCGTCCCTTGGGCACGCCAGAAACCTATGAGTGTGGGTTCGAATCCCGGTTCACCCCGATTATGTTTCTAGGTTTGTCAGCACCATACCCGTGCTCGTGGGTTTCACCGAAGTGGTAAACGTCTGAGATCTGCATCACTTCGGGCTTTCCTCCCACATTGAGCTGACACGCCACGATATAACTGAAATACCGTTAAAAGCGGCGTTAAACCCAACTCACTCACTCACTCTGTATGCTCTCAGGGTGGCCCGGGGCAAAATAGGTAATCCAGTCCCTTTTGCTTGTGTGATTGTACTAGCGTTGATCATTCTACCATCCCATCGACCACTGTTCGCTTGTCAGTCAAATGGCAGCTGTAATATTGCTGACTGCGGCGTTCTACAACATTCACTCCCATCTTTTTCTGTATGCAATGCATTTAAGTAAGCTCCGACGTTCATACCGTTTTGCCCTCACTCTATGAAGGTTTATACTTCAATGAACGCACACAAAGTGAAAGTAATTTCTTCAATGTAACTCCTTTAAGGACATAAGACACCTCTTTCTGCATTGCCATAATCCGAATATGTATAAATTCGGAACGCTTCTATCTTCGAACGGTGTAAGGTTACTGAGAAACTTATGTAAATATCTATGTCAAAGTTATGAAATGAGACAAAGTTTTGCAAAAACAAGAATACTCTGATGATAGTTACTTATGATTTCATGTACCATTGTATGTAGAAATGCACTTTATCTGTAGATGGACCAATGGCCTTCATACGAATAAAAGACTTGCCTTGATAGCTCATTAGTTTTGCACTAGATTAGATCTACAAATACAAGTTGGTTGGTTGGTTTGTTGTTTAACGCCGCACTCTGTAAATAATCGAGTCTGGGCCAGACAATCCAGTGATTGACATCATGAGCATCGATCCACGCAATTGGGATCGATGACATGCATCAACCAAGTCAGCGAGCCTGACCATCCGATCCCGTTAGTCGCCTTTTACGACAAGCATAGTCATCTTTTACGGCAAGCATGGGTTGCTGAAGACCCCGGAATCTTCACGGGTCTACAAATACAAGTCATCAAAATAGATATTGCACCAACATGATCAATGACTATCAGAAATATATGACATATATTTTAAAAATGAAACCTAAAAAGAAAACATATACCACAACCTAGAAATAGGAACCACGGAGGATCAATCCAAGCGTATAGCCTGGCTGAATGTGTATCGTCATACCCCAGTGGCGCGTAGAGGTGCTCACACTCTCAATCATTGGTTTGAGGAAACCGAGTAATTACATAACTTCAACACTGATAATCCAGTATTTCATGTATTCACTGCGACTCACTCTCGGCATAGTTGAAAAGCCGAAAAACATCAATGGCATCGCTTATATCTTTTAGAAGCCCCGCCTTATGATGAAGAGGGATTACTGTCTATTGTGCAGTGTTTGTTTCCCGGTCTTTTTTT